TCGCGCAAATATAAAACCGCGGTCAGCGTAATAGCTTTGAATGAGGGTAAATGGTTAAAATAAATCACGAAAATAAATACATACTTAAAATGAATTGTGTATTTATTTATTTATTTATACTCAAAAGTTTAGAAATCTTTATTGTTCTTTAAATAAATTTTAAATACGTCTAAAAGTATGCTGTAAAACACCAAAGTCAGCTAAAATTACATTGCTGCATACTTTTAGACAATTTTATAAGTGATTTAAAAGTCCTTACCAAATGGTAACCAAATGTTGCATCTTAAAAAAAATTTTAAATTCTAAGCGCCTATTTTAAAAACCTAAAACTCCAAAAAATATGTACAAATATTTAACATTGCAATAAAGCTATTATTTCTACTTCAATTGTCTGCACGCCCCAATTGACAGGCAGCATTTGAATTATTCGCCAAATAGAAATATAAACAGAGTGATATTATAAAACCTGACACAATCAATTTAGTATTAATTTGGGTGCGCATAAATCGTCAAACGGCAAATGGCAAATAAGCTGTAGAGTCAGTCGATGCAAAATTGAATGGCTTGCGGCATAAATATTCATTGGCATTACAACGGCAATTTTATTGCAATGCCAAAAAGTCAGAGTCTCTCTGCAGTGACATTTTTGGTTTATTTTTGCAAGGGGGTGAGTGAGGGGAGTGAAGAGTGCGACTTGCAATCAAAAGGAACAAAATCAACAATAAAATGCAAATAAATACGGCCGGCACACACATGAATATTCCTTTTAGTACGTTTCTACGAGAAGCATTTGCCCAAAATGACAAGTAACCAAATAAACGTTCTTGGACAGGCCAAGACAAGGTTTGTTTGTTTGTTTAAATACAGATAAATGCTACTGACATCCATTTAAACATCAATGTGTGGGCGGTGCTGGGATTTAGTAGGGCTTTTCGGGGGAAGCATTGTTACCCGATTGGCATTAAACTGTTGAATTGTTTTTGTGATCGATTACAACGCACTTTTATGGCGAACCTATATATGTTTTGGCTCCAGTATCTCTCTGCTTGTCCGGTTATAAATTGGTATTTCATGGAAACATTTAACTCTCCTTCAATTGTTATGCCATGACATAAATCTATAAAAATTGTTATTTCAAATAAATTGCAGACCACCGAATGGAACCCAAAATAAGAATGACAATATTTGTGGGCCATTCTGGTTAATAACCTTGTGACGAGTTCTTTTTATTATTTCATTATGCTGCTTTGCTTTTGAAATTCACGCGAAATAAAAAAATTAAAAATTAAGAACACATATTTTAAAAGAATAATAATAAATAATTACTTTTGCCTTAAGCAAGCATTTCTTAAAGAATTTAATTTATTTAAAATTGTTGGAGGCTTATAAATAAAAAAAATATTTACATAATAATATATATGTGAATAAATTAAAGTCGTGAACAAATTCATCACATTTGAGTTTAAAATAAATTGTTGCATACTTTTAGACACCTATTTTGACATCCAAAAGTGATTGCTAGGCGAAGACTTCTAAGCTCAATCTTTTCTGTTATATCAGCCGCAAAATGCTAATCGAAAATGCAGAAAGTAAATGTTTTAAGAAAATTCTGTCCTCGCAGGAACACACACAATCACAATCGCTTTGGGCTACCGACGAAATAAATAATGCCAAACAATTACAAAACACTAAGCTCATTTGACTTCTCATTGCATTAGCCGGAGTCGAGTTTCACTCAGCAGCGCTTAAATTTAATTGCATTTTCCGCATTCCCAATGGCAGTCAGTAGTATTTTTGGGTAAATTTTCGTTCAGACCCACAATGTATGCTGCACCACACACATACATATACATTGTACATACGTATATAGACTTATGGAGCTTGCCTGCGAATCCTGGGAAATTTGACTGGATGTGGGTGTTTTTGGGGGTTTGGAACGTAAGCAATTGCAATGCAAGTTTCATACACAAGGCTGCTCAGAAACACATACACACACACAAGGAGTAGGCACAACCACATGCACATTTGATTTGCATTTCATTTTCTCAGTCGACGTCTCTTTCGCTCTGCTAAGTCGTCTTAAGCAGCACGTCTCTCGGTGGAAACGTCCAGCTGTTGTCTGTGTGTGCGTGCCTGTGGCTCTGTGTAATGCGTGTGTGCAGCTCAAAAGCTCAAGCAATGTGTACTGAGTGCACTGGGCGAAATAATGGTGTAATTCCAATCGAATCTAGGGATATCCACAGAAAATTCACCCCTTATCAATGTATATCACTAATACGCACTGTGGCCGCCGATCAAAAAGGTTTTTTAATATATAATAATCTAAAACTTTACATTTCTTTTGTTACTCTTCATTTTTTAAAACCAATAATTAAAATCCAATTCATAATTTGACAAGACAGTAATGAGTAATTTTCAAGAAAACTTTCAGACCATGAAAAAAATTTTTTTTTGAATTTAATTCAACTTTTGCTTACTAAAATGTAGTAAAAGCATATACATTTTTAACCTCTTTTACGAAATCTAGGTTAAATAAAATTTAAACCGTCGAATATTAATTATATAAATTTGTTTTGCTCTTTTATGGTTATCACTTTTCTATTGTAAATTCTATTATTGTGAATAATATTAGTGAAAATTATTATATATCACTAATTTATATGGATCACATGATGTGCTAATTTCAAATCTAGATTTATTATATCCTGTAAAAACTGTTCATTCCTTAAAACCCCTTTCTCTCACTGCACAAATGGATGATTGCTTGAATGCTCACACTTACCTCCCAGAAGCCATTTCCGGCACTGGTCGTTACGTCACTGTAGGCCAGCACCGCGCCCGGCCGGCTGCTGCGGAAATCGAATTTAATATTAAATTCTTCGGCGTGATTTATGGGCCACCAAATGTGTGATGTCGCAAAGGGATAGGTGATGGGTATGACATTCACTTCGTTCTCGACGAACTCCGCCTCCAGGACGCCTGACCCAGAAACCAGAAAACAAACCAGATAGATAGATACATATAGGATCGTAAAGGTAGGCATGCCAAATATGTCGGGTAGCAAATCGCTACACTGGATATTAAATTGCTCTCCTCCACTCACCGTGATAGTGCACCTTGGGATTCCCCCGCTGCAGTTCGTACAGAATGGAGATGTCGTTGTAGTAGACATATTTCAGGCTGCCCACGAAATTGTTATGTGAGGCCAGACCCTTCTTCTTGTGCAGTTCGGGTCCTCCACCGAAATATATCTCTGGATCGAAGAGTAGATTTCCACTTGCAGTGGCTGGGAGTTCCAGGACCTTTTGCTGTTGATCCAGAATAATGCTAACCGTTCGCTGTTCGTGTAGAATCGTTAGATTGTGCCAATAGCCGCGGGTCAAGTCATCGGTGAGTATGGTACTCATCACATTGTCCCCGAAGTCCATTTCCACATGAACTGACTGATTTTTAATCGCAGCAGCTATATACTGATGTTTTAGGGACTCTCCACTGGCGTAGAATAAAGCTGAGTCGTCGAAATTCGTACGGAACATTAGACTTATACGCCTCGTGGAGGAATGCACTCGATCCTTCCAGTCGTATATCCTGTAGGATACATAACTGGCCCCTCGCAAAGTAATAATGGTGGCCGCTATAAAAAAGAAAGGGAATCATTTGTGTATACCTTTTTTTTAATGAAAATACATTTTTAAATTAAATCTTTTAAATAAAAATATAATAATATAAATTAAGGAAAAGTATTTGTATATTTATGCATTCAGTTATAATGGTGGCTGCTATAAAAAAGAATGCTTAACTTATTTCTTTTTATTGAAAAAATTTCTCTGAGTTAAAAATTCTTAGGCATGCCGATTATTTATATTTTTAACTGTCAAGGGCATTCTTTACCCAAAAAAATTTAAAATGATTTCATTACCGTGTCAATCCAATATTTTAAGCTCACTAATAAAAAATTAAAAATAATTTGTAAATAAATTTTTTCAACATCGACAAGTCAAAGCGAAATGTGTAATCCGGATATTTATAATAAAAGCCAGCAAAAAACGTTAGTAACAAACACCTGTTAACTCTCCCTCTCGAAGCGAAAAAAAATGTATAAGTTTAGCATATTTGTATATTTCAGCATGCGAATTATCCGCCAGAGTACTTGAAACTTTGACCCATGTTTCCGTTTTTTTGTTAGCCCCTTGCCATTTTGTGCATTATCTGCCTGCTGCACACAGGACAAAAAAACAGGAAAAATAAAAAAGAAACTGCAGAGAAAAACGCTTTAGTGGGCCACAAAAATAGATTATATTGTTTGGTCTATGGCGGCCTTTAGGCATTCGCCTGATGTTCGTCGTGGTCCTGTTTCCTCCTCTCCTTTCCTGCATCTCATCCAGATCCCGGGACCTCTTGTCCTGTCCGTGGACCAAATGTGCAAATCGTGTTACGCGCAATTTTCATGCATTTTTTTCTGTAGCCTCTGGTGGTGCAGTGGTTGCGAATGATGGGCGGTTTGGGTGGTGTCATGACAGCAGCCGCGTTTTGGCCGCTTATCTGACACAGCACACGTGGGCCACGCCCAGCCGATAATGCATCACAACCCGCGCTAGTCCCTATATCACTACACTGGGAATTCTCTTCAATGACAAATTTAAAATTTCAAAATTGTTTTAATTATTTTTAATTGTTTTTAGAACCATAAAACAAAAAAGTTAATTCAAACTTTTGCGCATCATAAGAAATACCTTAAAACATATACTATATGTTTTTTTAATATGTTATGTATCCTGTTTAGAAAATCTATTACTTCTTGATTTTTTTTTAAATTTTCATTGACTTTAAAATTATTTTCTAAGTATTACTACATTTGTTTAAAGAGCTCTAAAAAATTACAAAAAATTATATTTATGATGCAGCCCTACCAAAAACATTTAAAAACATTTTAAGTATGAACAAAAGTAATCAATGCTTAAATTTTTCCCCGTGCCCAGACCCGACTAAGATACCAGAGCTTACTTCATAATTTTATTTGCATTTTGTTGGAGCAAAAAACATTCTGCTGCATTGGACCACTAGGGTGTGCTACAATTTAGTTACCCAAACCCTTCGTTGGACTTATGTTAATGCAGGTGCATAATGAGCTGGGTACTTCTCTCACTAGAGCAGGCCACACCGCGTGACACACACAGTTTTCTTGGTCTTGCCATTTTTGGTACCGAATTCGTGGCAGTTCTGGAGGACCCTGAGGCCCCCACAAACCCTTCCAAAGATGACCCGCTGCCATGGAACCACCGAGGGCTTAAAGCTGATGGTGTAGCTGAGGAGGCCCTGGGGAAAGTGTCGGCGATAGTCCCAGGGATACGAGATCACCCCGGTCAACTTGCTGGGATCCAGGAAGGAATGCTTTACGCTGTGGTGATTGCGCAAAGGATCGTTGCCCTGCGGCACCAGTTCTCCCTCCATCCAGAGATTCGAAAATATTCGCACAAACCGATGACATCCCACATCGTTGTGAGTGGCCATTCGTACAAATTGCAACACCACTTCAGGACTGAGTTCCGTGTAAAGTTGTAAAAGCAGTCGGCCCAAGAACTGGTTATTCTCCCGCACCGCCAAATCGAAATATATTATGGGACGCAGCAGGATATGGGCAGTTCGCTTTCCCAATCGCGGGGATGGCATATAAGGTAGGAAGGCATTTACCGTCTGCTCAGGGGCCTTTTGCTCAAGGGGTTTTACGGGCGCAACGTAAGGATTGTGATGGTCCACCTTAGGTTAAAGGGTAACTTATCAGGCATTAAAGTATAGCGATTTGTAAAAAATACATTATAAAAACCACACTTAGTATGATATGTAGATATTTTGATACGTTTCAAAATTGTTTATAAAAACAATATTGTGATAATATCGAAAATATCGATGATTTTCAAATGTATTTAATGATCATTAATATATATTAAAAAGTGCATTTTTTGAAACATAATTATAACCGTAATCTCTTGTAAAAATATATTCTGCATTGTGAATACTTTTTTTTTATTTTTTAGATATTCGTTAAACTTAAACATTTTTTCAAACGAGAAAAATGTTTAAAAAATAAAGGTAAATACTTTTAAACTCGCTAACCATACTGCCACTATTTTTTAACCAACTTTTAAGTTTTTTTAACCAACCTTGGACTTGACTTGTGAAAGGCGACAACCGAGTTGTCTGTTTTCCTGGTTCAGACGTTCAGCAAGTTCACGGATCTTCGTGCGATTCGGCTGAAGGGCGGGAAAATGGCGGTTGAAGCAATCAACACAGCCCTTCAGTCGATTGGTCCTGTTGATCCGTCCAAGGAGCTCGAGATTTTTGCGAAAGATATCCTGTTTCTGGCCAAACTCACTAGTTAATTGGCTGCGATTTAGGATGCGAGCCTGATAGCCAAAAGAATCGCCCGAGGATTTGATACTCTTAAGGCGTCTATGATCGATTTGTGATTTCCGCAACTCCATCATGCTTTTGTAAGTTACAGGATTTAAGTCCGCCTGTCTGCCCGCCGATCGCATTATCTTTCGCAATTCCGCATATGTGGGCACCCTATTATTCAACAATTTCTCACGCACCTCTTTGTTTTTCATCACCAGTTCATTGGCCACCTTTTGGGCCCGCAGTTCGGTGGCTCGACTGGTAGGGGTTTTTACAAAGAACTCCGAATAGGAAGCTCCGCGATGAGTCATTCTGGTATTTAGAGGGACTACTGTACTCTGTATTGATGATTTTCGGACAAGCTTAACTTGCAAATTTGTGGACTCAAGCAATTTGTGGTGATGATGTGTTTGTTTGTGTTTGGGTTAAACAAACTGAAACACAGACACCAAATTGCTTGGGTGTGTATAGGGTCTGACTTAATAACGAACAGCCAGCTTGGTTTGGGGTAAACATATTTAGGGGATTATCAAGTTATATAAGAAGACTATCCATGGTAGCGATAAAAAAACCATAGAAGTCAATAATGGAAAAATAAAACCCATAAATAGATTTCATGATGTATAAATAAATGATTTATTAAAACCATAGCTCTAATTGAAGGTGTGACAATATTATTTGGGCAAAGCAGACGGAAATCCGCTGTTTTCTATTTTTTGTGTCACAACATAAAGGGAAAAATAGCCACAAAATTAACACATTCAATTTGAGTAGGTTAAATAAACTGAAGTTGAGAGAAGAAATTTAAGCAAATTAAACTTAATTTTAATAATAATGACCAACAAACTTGGAATTTATGCCATTTCCTCACTGATGTACATACTGTAGTATTTTTTCGGTATTCAAAAAAATGCTATTTCCTGTCCGCACGGGACAGCATTTAGCATTCAGCATCTATAGATAATATAAAATTCAGAAACAGCTAGAGAAACAGTGCAGGCACGGAAATAAAAAGGAAAGCGTTGAAAGCTTTTCATGAGAAAGACATTTTTCAAAACCTGAGATATGGGCATAATTTCTCAAATATCAATCCGCAAACAGGAGATTTGAACAATCAAATGTATTGACCATGGACAATAAAGATTTGAATGTTTTATTAAGCTTTTGTTTGCATTATACATATATTGCTATGCAATACACATTAGATCTTTTTTTGGGATCATTCTATTGTTGATTTTGCAATCCTTCGGTGGTCTTATCGATTTGGTGGTTTGTTGCCTCTTACTTCCTGTGACAAACTTGAGCGGCAAAAGATTGGTCAGGTTTTGTTAACTGCAGTTATTCGTATTTTTTTCCTGCAGAGAAATCATCTATAGTGGGCCTTGATAATTTCGAAAATTTTGCGATGGCCGTTTTGTCGATAGTCAAAAAATACTCAGTTATTTGGTATTTTAGGCACGAGAATATCAAAATGTAGTAGCATTTATTATCGAATGCTCTTTTCTCCCACCTCTAGAACCACTTGAAAATATATGGGAAAAATGTAACATATACCAAAAAATGTCAAAATGCTACATTCAGCTCTGGTGAGGAAAGGGCATTAATTACTGGCAATGTTTATGAAAACGTGAATTTTTAACTTAAATTTAAGAACGATATTTAATTATATTTAACTTGCAAAGAATTTAATTATAATGACCAATTAACTTAAAGCTAACCCAATTTAAAACCTTTCCAAAAATATGCAACTTAAGCAATTTTAGCTTGAAACGGGCCAGTAAAAATTGCATCTCTGGCTGCTGCATCATGAATGCCAGTTGAGCTGACAACTGTCGGCCAAAAGTCCAGAGATGAACTAAGCCCCGAGTCATCATATCACAGGACATCGCAGGACATGCTGCCCCACCCTCAATCTGTCGTCCTGTTTGCTGGCATTTCAATTCGTTTATGCCGGAAGAAGGCGAAAAATCTTGTAGTCTCTTTCAGCAATGTTGATGCCTGGTTTTTCGGGGGCTAATGATTTCCCCAACTGAACGAACGCATTTCGTTGACACTTTTGCCATGGAAAATTGTAAAATCGGAATGAGTGTGTAAAGAGTGCAAGGAGGGGTTTGTGGAGTAGTCCGTATTCAGGCTGAAATGCACATGAACAGGCTCGTCCTTGTACTGGCAGTTGTCATTTTAGTTATTGCATTACAAAAGCGTCTGCGTCTGATTATGTCCCGTGTCCCTTGTACCCTGTATGAATTTTCAGCATTTTCATACACTTGGGGAAAGGCGGGGCTTAAAATAAGTTGGTTGTGATTGCACAAAATCTAAATTTTAGATTTTTTTAAAATTCTTAAAGATCCTAAGATAGTTATATATTTTTTAGACCGATTAGTTAGTTTTATTTCATTGATGTTTCAAAATTACTTATAAGAGTGTCTAAAAGCTTGCAGTAAAAAAGAGGTTTCAGAATATATCTATTGGACTTTCGGACATAAAATATATTGTTGCATACTTTTAGACACGTTTATGAAGTGATATATTTTATTTTTCCTAATTTAGTAACCAATATTTCTCTCTCTGCAATATAGCTTTACCGCTCGCTATGTGCGAGGTTTTAATGGCCTGACACTGTTTCCGTTCCAGGAGCAGTTCAACATGCAACCGGCAAACCAGCGGGCGGTGCACTATGGGGCATTTGACCACTTTGGTTGGCCAAAACCCATTTTTTAAAAGTCGTTAAAACAAAAAATGTTCTTTGAGGATGTGTTAACAAAAGACCATTTAACAATGTTGCGTTTACAGAAATCCGATAGAGGTCGCCTCTGTTAAGGTAGGAGCTGTTAAATCAGCTGTTTGATTTGCAATTATCGAGCTGTTGTATTTCGACTTTTTGCTTGCAGTTTTAAAGTGCTTTAAATTTGAGCTTTTAAGCAATCTAAGTAAACTTTTCGGATTGGATTTAAAGGATTATGCTATTTACTAAGTATTTGTGTGGTTCGACGACAAAAATTAGACGGTTTTTTCTTACAAATGAGTGTTAAAGGGAGTGGTCTAACAAGTAAATTTTTGTAAGAAAACTAATTTTCAAATGGAGCAACAAAGTGAGTCCAGCGGAGTCCACTTCTGAAACCTATTGGGATTTGTAGATTATTTAATTGTTGTTAAAATGTATATGGTCAGAATCGCCACTTATTGCCACTTTTTCTGTAATTTAATTTTTTAGACCATAACCTCAAATTTCACAAACTCCTATCGCTTGCACTGGTGGCTAAGGAAGTAAGGACTTTCGAACTTTAAATTATTATCAAAATATAGTAGAAATACTTAGCTTTGTAATTGACTAACTTAAGTGGACTTTAGCGGCTTTAAAACGAAAGTTCCGCTACAACTTGAACAAAAAGTCGTACAAATGTAAAGTAAATTCTTTCCTTTGCCCCTTTTTTTTGAGAACTTTAGGATATAGTCGTCCGATTTGTACAAAACTGTTAATATTTTTTTAAAAACTTACATAATTGCTAATTCTAAAGTTATGTGCATTTATCTCCAAAAACAGCAAAGTTAATTTTATCGTTTCTATGGCAGCTATATGATATAGTTTTCCGATCCGGATGATTATCATATATAATATGCGGGGGGATAAGAAATGGCGACTGGTAAAGTTTCAAGTCAATATCTTTTGAAATGACCGAGTTATTAATTTCGGCCAACAAAAGTGGTCAAATGCCCCATAGTGCGGTGGGTGGAGGTACATCTGTGTAATTTGCTTGCACTTGCCGGCGCTCGTTACGTAATTGTGATCAGTTGCAGGAGCAGCAGCAGGCGCTGTAAATGCTTGACAAACTCGCACGTCACGGCGGTCGCTCGTTGTCCTTGACAGACGCCATTTAGACAGATAGATAGAGAGAGAGAGAGAGAGCGACAGGGAAGGAAAATGCACGCGGCATTTTCCAAAATGGCCAACGCTGTGACGGCTAACGGCAAACCGTTAGCGCACTTTTTTTTTCATTCTATTTGGTTCATTTTGCAATTTGCAGCTGTCCATTGCATCAATACCCATTCCACGCAGCCAACTGACTTTCCCTGGAAACATTTCCCCTGTACACTCCGCTTAATTCCGCCACTGCCACCCGCGAAGTCAGGATTTTATTTTGGATTTTTCCTTTTTCCATTGCTGCTGGCATGTGTTGGTCATCATTTGCATGCAAATTTTTAGCAAACATTTGAAACTCAGGGGGGGCTAAATCTGAAGAATTCATGTTGAGATGCCCTAACTAAAGTTTAGGTTGGTCAGGTAACTTGATTTTATGATTATTGGAGTTTTTGTAGAGGGAATCTGATTTTATTGCAAAGAAAAATTAAGGGGTTTTTTAAAATAACTTTTAAATAATAAAATAAGTGTCTAAAGGTATGTCACAAAATATTTTTACCCCAAAAGTGATATGAATTCATACAGGAAGACGACTATCCTTTATTCAATGCATACTTTTAGACATTAAGTTAAATTTTGATCATTTTCCCCTTTTACTTTTGTAATATAAAAAATTTTAAAAATTTAATTATAGTGAGTTACTTTTTTAATCCTTTGAAAAGCCACTGAAAATTGTGAATTAAGCCCTTTAAATAAAGTGTAAATAATCTGGTAAATTGTTTATCAACGGGGAGTTTAATATGCAAATATTATTTTCACAATAATAGGGTAAATCCAGTTCCCTTTGGTACCCCAAAAAACTTAAATCCCATTTTCGTGCGGGAATGCAAACTTAGTGCCTTCGAAAGACCCCTGAAAATTGTGCAATGTCAAAAAACATAACCGAGCTGCTCAATTTTTAATAGGCTTGCCTATATAATGGCCTCGCGTGACTTAATTGAGATTATGGCGGCCTGGAATTGGCTTTATGTCATTAACTAAATGTCGGATGTTGCTGAAGGGAGGAGGGCGGTGTATATATATTGAGCTTAACAAACTAATTTTGCGCACATTCTCTGCCTGGTGTGGCCCGAGTGCTGGTCCGGCAGTCAAAAAGTCAAACACTATTTTGCATAATTTATGGTCAGGTCATTAGCGTGTTTAAAACTGTAGCGACCAGAAAGGAGAGGGCAGTGCCAGTGGCTAACCGCTAGCAAACAAACATAGTTTATAATTAAAACAAAATGGCGCCCCTAGGGCATGTCAGGATGTACAGAGATATATTGGGATTTAAACAGAGTTAGATGGATGTGAATGGCACTCGGATAAAAAATTTAAAGTGCAAATTAAAGTCATGAATAAGCAAATATATTTGTATTTTAAAATCGAAATACTGATACCATATAGTTTTGAAAAATGTTTTTAATATTAATATACGAAATTAAAAAAAAATAATAAATGTGTTTAATAGAATTTTAAAGTTAAATATTTATGCATTTTTATGTTTAATAAATAGAAAAATGTAAATAATTAATTAATAAATGTATAACTCTATTAAAATAAAAAAGCATCATT